ATGTTCATCAGTAGCGTACGCATCGGGGAAAGGTACCAAATAACTTGGGAATGATGCTTTTGGGGTACAGATTTTCAGCAGGTGTATCCATTTTGTGCGAGTGATATAAAATGCCGGACCTCACAGCTTATGTTTGCAATTTGGCGCTTGGCGGACGCGGCGCGACCGCCGCCATTGGCAATCACTCGTGTCCGACAGCCAACGTTGGGTCCTGTTAGTGAGACCTTGGCCGTGGTCAAACACGCGAATCAATTACGCGAACGGCCTCAGGCCGCGTCTGTTGGCGCAATGGAAGTCGTGCGGCGCAAATGCGATGCGTTCTGAAGGCCAGCAGAGAGAGCGGACTCCTTTAATGGGGTAAAGGTGTCTGTCAGCCAGATGGAAAGCGTGCACGGTGTAACTACTGTGCGTTCTGAATGCCAGCAGGTGAAGGAATATCTTTGATACGCAGATACGCTAGTGATCAGAGGGAAAGCATGATCGCAGTAAGCGTGCTATGTTCTGGAAGCAAGTTAGTGGAATGGGCACATAAACACACCACTAGCTGTTTTTTGTTGTCTGCTGGCGGTATGTCGCCGCTCCTTTGCCTCACTCCAAGCCTTGCTCGTTCTCCAGGTCGTATAGCATACATTTAGCGAGATATGCTACCGTTCCGTGCCGGACCCTAACCTGGATTGTTTTTTTCAGATACAAGTTCTCGGAGAACTCGTAGCAGGCGAGACACGGAGCTGTTTGCCGTCCACCCACCGCGCCGCCGACTGTCAGCCAGTCCCGTCCCACAGTCGGCCGCCTGGGCGGTGTCGGTCATGTGACTCCGCCGGCGTGGGGTCGAGTCCGCCGCCGCTCTTTCCCCCAATGAGGCTGGACTTCCGCTCCGCCTCCCGTCGCGTCCCGTTCCGCTCCCGTCCCGTCGCTTTCCGTTGCGTCCCGTCCCGTCGCGTCCTGTCCCGCCTCGTCCCGTCCCGCCTCCGTCCCGTCTCATCCCGTCCCGTTCCGTCCGTCGCATCCCGTCGCATCCCGTCGCATCCCGTCGCATCCCGTCGCATCCCGTCGCATCCCGTCCTGTCCTGTCACGTTCCGCCTCGTCCCGTCCCGCCTCGTCCCGTCCCGTCTCATCCCGTCCCGTCTCTCCCGTCCCGTCTCTCCCGTCCCGTCTCATCCCGTCCCGTCTCATCCCGTCCCGTCTCATCCCTCCCGTCCCGTCCCGTCCGTCCCGTCCCGTCTCATCCCGTCCTGTCTCATCCCGTCCCGTCCCGCCCCGTCGTGTCGCGGTGTTCTTTGGGCACTGGACGTTGTGTGCGGAGCGGCCTGTATCGACCGGTCCCCCGCACCCAGCTGCAGTACGCCGGCCACCGAGCCTGGAACTGCTAATGAGTCCCCGCCGCTCGTCTGTTGTGTCCGCGCTGGGCTGGTGCACTGGTGGTTTCGGCTATCGTGGTTACCTTTCCAGACCACGCGCCGGGCCGGGCCCAGACGTGTGATGTGACGCACACCGCCGCCGCGCTGTTCCGCAAGCATTTTGACGGCATGAACTGTTCACGTGTCCTCAATTACGAGTCGGCTAATCAGTGCGCTATGGCTGCGCTGTTTGGGATCCTCGCCGCCGTCCCAATAACCTCACCGGTGCTTACTCTGTGGCCTATTGCCAGCTGTGGGAACCGCGAGAGGCGCGGCCTTGTGGTGCGCCGCGCCGGCTCGCGCGCCTATGAGGCAGCGCGGTGCGCGTGGCTGATGTAGAGAGGTGTGGCTGTGTGGCGCGCCGCGCCGGCTCGCGCGCCTGTGAGGCAGCGGTTAGCGCCGGGCGCGCAGCTGGTGTAAAGAGGCGCGGCCGCGTGGTGAGAACGTTCAGGCGACGGCGGATTGCTCCGGTTGCACGTGGCCGGCCCTGCTGGCCGGGGGGTCGCTAGTCAGACCGACATTGATGGTGACTGTTGTGCGAACAACGTTGGCGGTGTGAGAACGGTAGATCCTCTGCTTGCATGAATAATATGAAACATGACACTCTTTTATTGTAAAGTTCTGGAATAGCATCATCCAATATGCTCTCCTGCGCAGTTGGTAGATACGCGCAAACCGGTTTGAGAACCGCAGTCTTGACAATACCACTCAGAAACTTCATAAAAACATACATCGGCTGAATGTAGAGGAACCGACAGCAGTCACCAGAGAGAACAGATCTTACATCCAGCCAGCAGTCACAGTCACATATTGGTCAATACCTTCAAGAGGGGCCGACAGCCGTCACCAGAGAGAGCAGATCTTACACCCAGTCACCGATCGTAGTCACCCAGTCACCTTGCCGCAGCGCCACTTTCATACCGTACAACAGCTGACCATCCGCAGCGTATTGGTGGGATGACACAACAGACCGCATCGCGTGCCCCAGACAGGTTGTTGAACTCTGGCTGTTTTTCAAACCGGCTAGCTGGCAGCAAAGCAAACTGATGGTCACCTGCGCGATGAGCCACGACTTTTCAGATTGGAACGTACAATTGGGCTGTGCCCTCTGGCGATGCTTCAGTTCACTGCCGCCGCGATATATGGTACGCGCTTCGGTGTGTCCCGATGTTCTGACGTCTTGGGCTATTGAGAACAGTCGTTTAGCCTGGAGCTGCTGGGACAACGCGAGTAGCTATTAATAATGTTCGTTATAGCCAATCAGGCTTGGTAAAATGCGTCTTCGTTCGCGAATGCGCGATGGCTCAGGGAAGATATTTGCCATAAGGATGCAGGTAATCTTAATGATCAAATGCAGTACCACTCCGTGCTATTTGTGTTACGTAACCTTGTCTTCTTACTACTATCACTCATCTATTGAATAAAGAGGAAAAAATTTGAGTAAAGAAAGAAATTGAGTAAAGAATGGGTGCCATATGATCACTATCGTCGCCGCTCCCCAAAGCCCACATCATCACTATCATCACCTTATGAGATCTCTGAGGGTGGACCATATGTGATAGTGCAAGCGATGTTAGCTGGTAGATTTTTTATCAGCGAGTCTGCGAGTAAAGTGAGTGGCATTCAACATTCGCCACCGAACAGACATTTCATAACTAGCCTAAGACAGCTCTACACTACCAACGGACGGCCAGGACTTGTTGACGGCACATCAACGGAAGGGCCAACAATGATCACACCGATCCATGCCTTGAAATGAATCACAACAGTGGGTCGCCTTCAGGCTAGCCAGACTGCGTGGGGGGTTTCAACTGCAATGCGAACAACCCTCAAGTATACGACTGCGTTCCGTTCCCGTCATCCAGACGCACGACCCAAACACGCCCGTGCATCCTGCGAAGACCGGATCGCCCGACGCTCACATGGCGTGCAGCGCACACAGCTAACACAGAACATGATGCCACGCTGCCGCCAAAGTACATCGTAACACCGGCTGCGGCCCGTGAGGACCGGCGCTCGGACAACGTAATGACGGTGTGGTGGGGCCTGGTAGGCTGGCTCTCCTCGTCAGTGCAGCGGACGTGGCTGGCCGGCTGGCCCGGCGGAGCCTGGCTGGTCGGCTGTCCCTACGGAGCCTGGTCAGCCGGCTGTGCGATGGGACGATGGCTGGCCGGCGGCCCTCAGCGGAGCCTGGCTGGCCGGCGGTCCCCGTCAGTACAGTGGAGCCTGGCTGGCCGGTGGTCTCCGGCGGAGCCTGGCTGGTCGGTTGTCCCTACGGAGCCTGGTTAGCCGGCTGTCCGATGGGACGATGGCTGGTCGGCGGTCCCCACCGGAGCCTGGCTGGCCGGTGGTCCCCGTCAGTACAGCGGAGCCTGGCTGGCCGGTGGTCCCCGGCGGAGCCTGGCTGGCCGGCTGTCCAGACGGAGCCTGGCTGGCCGGTGGCCCTCAGCGGAGCCTGGCTGGCCGTCTGTCGCGGCGGAGTCCGGCTGGCCAGCGGTGCTGACATGCGGGCGGATCTGGTCGTGATGCGCCGATCAGCGCCCCCATCACACGGCTCACCGGCGCCGTGTATCGCGCCTGGACGAGGGGGCGGCCCCGGAGGTGAGACCGCCGGAAGCCTGCCGCCCGCCGCCCCGCCGACGCCACCGCCCGCGCTCCAGAAGGCGGCCGACGCGACGTCAATGGTGTGACGTCACAGGATGGCCGACCTTTTTATGGTGAGGCGATAGACGAGCAGGCCTAGAAGTTGTTTACGCTTTGTTATCGCTAATGCTCGGTTGTGGTTGCCGTGCACTGTAGCTGGCGACAAGAGCATTTAACTCAGGTTTTGCAACATTGAAACAAGTAAATATTTACACAAAGAAAACTGGACTCAACACTGAACAACCTTCAACTCAGCTGGCTTCAGAAGCAATAAACAGGAGTGTGAGGAACGCATAGATTGGCGTGCTTCAGGAAGCTGTGAAGCATTTGAAACAGCGCGACTCGAGCACAGTACAAGCTTTACGAGTAGCTATTTAGGCGTGACAGTTATACGAGTTTTAGAGTATTATAAAAACCAGCGATGCCTTCGATCAACGATGATATTGTTAAGCTAGTCCCTTCTGATTTTGTCGGCCGTATGGGACAGGAAAGACAATGAGCAATACGGGCATGGACCGCTCCCAACACTAACAGGCGGCAGGCACCATCTCCGAGTAGCGCCCGTCACCGGGTCGTTCATTGTCTAAACACGCAACCGGAAACGAACCACGAACAACACCGTCATCAATCCAACAGATTCCCTTGGATATTCTTGTTCCGAGTCTGCAGTGTTCTCAGAACAGATCGAAGTCAGTCCATGCACGTGCTGACTGTTTGCAAACCGTGGCGGTTGTGCGCGACTCCGCCGCGGCCGCGGTGTCCAGACGCCGTGCACGACCGCCGACCTGGTGGAGCAGCCCCGTCCCCCGTCCCCCCCCCCCCCCCCCCCCACCTATCCCGGTCCTTCCGCGAGCTCCCCCACACGCCCTAGAGCGCCGTGTCGGCGCCGGCGGCGCTGCTCCGACGTCAGACGTCCGTCTTGGAGCTCTTGGAGGGTGGCAGGACGCTGCTGTGCTCGCGCAGGCCCGATCGTCTTGAAGAACGTGTCGCGGAACTCCTTGGTGAACAGGCAGTAGATGTAGAAAGTAAGCGAATAGTTCACGATCTCGAGCACGTTGGAGACGGCGCGGAACACCTGGAACGAGTACGACCGGATCATGGCTTGCGTGAAGGACACGCTCAGGATGACCATAGGCAGGTTGCAGAAGAAGAACAGCGTGGCCGTGGAGCCGAGCAGCATCATGAGCCGGTGCTCGTCTGTCTGCTGCGCACGCTGCTCGCGGGACAGCTGGACCAGCGCCCGCCGCTTCCGACACACGCGCCGGTACGACCAGTAGATCTGCAGGTTCAGGTAGGTGACGGCCACTGTCGGTGCGATCTTGTACAGAATCTTGAGCGTCCACTTGTAGACGAGGTAGTAGACGGACTGGGTGAAGGCCAGATTCTCGGCGATGCGGTAGGTGGTGCTGTTGTCGCTGGCGAGGCAGGCGGTGACGCTGTTACGGAGCGTGTAGGGGGAGAAGATGATGAAGGTGCAGACGGGCAGCAGGGCCAGGGTGAGCCGCGCCCGCCGGCCCTCGTTGGTCTGGTTGTGAGCGCGGACCGGGTGACACACACTGATGTATCGCTCTGTTGTCAGCGCCACCAGCATCAGCACGGACAGGCCTGTCGAAGCACAGACACTGTCAGGATATCGCCACCAGCTCTGGAAGGCCCGCCGACATGTGCAGAGGGACGCCATCAGAGCCACCAACGGTAGTACAGCGGAGCGCATACAAAGGAGCGGTACAAACGGGGCCCGAGCCAGAAACGGCGGAATCTCATAGGCGTTTGAGGGGAGCGTGAAGACAAATTATTCTTTAAACGTATTGTTTGACATTTTTATGGAGCCTTAACTGAGATAGTCATTTTAGGATCTTTTCTTGAAGTTCAAAGTTATATTCTTTTTAAGAGTTCACATATTCTCACTTCCGAGCTATGCGCATGCGAACTTGTGCAGACTTTTTCGTGTCGCCTACTTCGAGGGCATCCGGTGTTGTAGGACGCCGTAGAAACGTCACACGAATTCTACGTTTTCAATGGTCATACCGTGTTTCAAGGTCAAGAATAATATGACCGTTAACTTACTCGTGTCTGGTGCACGTCAGCATAAATTGTCTCAGCAACGGACATCAATTGCTTTTCAATCAGTCGAACGCATTAAATGCACGTTCCGAACACGAATCATGTTTTGTGATACACAATACAGGAATTTGGGCGGTGACATTAGTTATGACGGAAATAAGGCAGAAAATCGAGCTTAAGAGAAATGCTCCAATTGTGTTTTTTGACTGAAATAGCCGTCTTGCAGATTATTCGGTGCAGCACACTGCGCCGTTCTTAAGACCCAAAACTCCGTAGGCTTTCAGCTACACGCCCGCAAAGAAGTGCAGATTTGTTCGTGCAGACTATTCCAAAGTCATTCAGGCATGCATGATGCCATAGAAACGTTATTCAAATTGTGCTACCCATTGTCCATGTGGCGTTTAAGACCAAGAAGGACATCATCGTGAAGTCGTTCATGTCTGGCGTTCGCGAGCACAGCTTATAGATATTACGGGCTTCTCGATCTCGATTGGCTCTCGATGTGTGTTTTGCAGGCAGTGCAAGATCCAAACACGAATAACGTTTGTGCTGTTTAATACGTGAGGCCGGACACGGTACTAAATATGACGGAAATAAACTTGTAATCGAATAACCCGGGAATAGCGCCATAACCGAGAACGTGAATACAAGTAGACAAGTTAATTTTGCAGACAAAAAGGCAAGAACGCCACGAGAAAGGGCCAAAACACGAGAGCATCATGATATTTGCTTCAGCGAACACGTCCAGCACCGCTACTGCCATATCTCGCCGAGTTCAAGGACCACAAGTGAGTGCTAGGGTTGCAATTTCGCACGGCCAGCTTGACACTACCTCTGACATACAAACGTTCCATGACGCAATCAAACAATAACGCATTGAGGAGCATATTTACTAAAAGAGAATTTGTGTTTGTCTAGAGCGGCCTTTCGCTGAGAACACCACGAGAAAGGGTCAAAACACGCGCACATAACGATGGTGGCTAAGTTCACACGCATAAATCAGCAAGCCATCTAGCGGCGAGTTGAAGTACTGCAAATATGTTAATCTGCCTGCTAAGCTGATAATTCTGACACGGCCAATCTGGTAACGACTCTGACGTCATTAAAGCGCTCAATGGCTCAATCAACCGACAACCCAATGAGAGGTATAGATGCTAAATAGTTATAAGGTGTTGTTTATGCCAGTCTTTTGGCATTTCCACTAGGCACAAATGAGTTTTTTGTATCATATCTGCAGAAAGGGTTGATGATGCATGTAGGTGATGCATGCTGATATCCTTAATGTTTTGTGTGTGTTGCTTTTGTATGACGCTTTTCCTAATATTTTTTAATGTTGAACATGTGTTTCAAGTAGACTATTTCCTTGCAATGCAAAAGAGTCGACGTTAGATTTGTCCAGCGCTTGGGAGCAGCTGCTCTCTCTAATCTCTGCCGCCCCCCCCCCCCCCCCCCATGCGCCGCTCCTGGTCTGAACACATGAGCGCCGCTATCGGGTAGATAGTGACTGGCGACGCGCTGGAAATACAGGCAGTCATAGGTAGATAGCAGACAGCCAACAATGATACGGATGGCTACAGATGCTCGGAGGCTTCCCGGACCCGGCCTTGACCTAAATTGAATGCAAATTCCACTCGACTTGCTAAGGTACTCGCTGTCTGACCATTGTTCTAGGACTGAGACCTCTTGTCTGTGACGGAGCTTCCCAAAGCGCACTGGTGGGGCAGGCCAAGCGTTGTCATGGGACGAATCGGTCGAGGCGTTGGCGTGTAATGCCGGGCGGCCTTCAATGCCATTCTATTCGGGCTCGGTGGAATGGGACAGTAGGAGACCAGGTTTCCAGGAATACAGGGCGGCTATCACGATCTGCACGAGCGCGATATCCTCAAGTTGCGCTATCAACTGGTCGCTTGACAGTGATTTCTCCCGGATCTCATTTACCGGATATCGGATAGGCGGCTACCTTATCAGAGCCGTGCTGCCGCACAAGCGCCTGAAATCCACTCTTGGTCACGACAGTCTGACTAATTCTGGTCCACAAGCTAAAGTAATCACATGTGGTCATTAGCATATGCTTGTGATCAGTTTACCATGAAATTAAGCGCAACGTAATTCTGGGATAGCAATATTTGGTAATGGTAGGTGACAGTCCACCGTCCCCATTCCAGGACGCCCACGCCGCGCGATCGTCTTCCCCCCCCCCCCCCCCCGCCGTTCAGGCCGTAACCAGCAGCCTCGTCAAACACCAAACGTGTTAAATATGGCGGGAGGCAATCGCTGATTGTCATGAGCATGCTTTTGTACAGGTCTTTAAGCACGTAGATAGCAATATCACGTCACTGGTGTCGTCCCCGATCCAAGGCTACAGTGGTAGACTGTAGACAGCGGACTGGCATTCTACAGTGGTAGAATGCCGGTCCTGTTACCCTTTCCTCGACGGCGGCTAGCGCCCGGCTGACGGCTGCAGCAGCTGACGTGAGCAGGTAGCGCAAGACTTGCCAGTCTCAGCCGCTGTCATGGCATGGAAAGATCACCACCTCGGCAAGATCGCCAAATGGGGCCCCGCACGTGTCGTGCACGCGAAATGTTAGCACAATGCGTCGACAGATGTTAAGGGAAGGTTGATAAATGTTAGCGATTTGCGCCAAACGGTTGCGGAGGAACCAGCTGGGAACCAGAGGCGGATGAGACGGACTTTGCCCGCCCTCCTCCACCCTGCCCGGAAAAATGCTCAGGATTTACGCCGAACCTTTTGCCGGGATGGATTGCTAGGATCAGAACCCACCTTAAACGGTGCCCGTCGCGTCAGCATCGACTGCGTCATCCGGTCATAAAATTCCAGGTCAACGGCGGAATTTTATGGCAAAAGTTTAACGTGCCGTTATTCTCGGCACGGCTCGTCCTGCCCTCCACGTCACCGAGCCTTTTAGCGCGGCCGCTGCCACCAACCGCGGGCCACGCCAGCCGGGCGGAAATAGCGAGAGCCTGAAGCGACCCGAACCCACTCCGCCACGGGCGAGTGGGTCCGAAGACAGGCACTCTAACCATTTGAAGTAACGGGACGGGTGGTCATTCCCAGCATGAGTTACTGCATGTTAAACGATAAGGAGCGGGTCTTGCATTGGCATACCAACAGTGAAAACCATGATCGTTTTGTCTCATTTCCTTACGCTCAGTTTATCGTCTCATGTTTCCAAACCGTGTGTGTGTGTGTGTGTGTGTGTGTGTGTGTGTGTGTGTGTGTGTGTGTGTGTGTGTGTGTGTGTGTGTGTGTGTGTGTGTGTGTGTGTGTGTGTGTGTGTGTGTGTGTGTGTGTGTGTGTGTGTGTGTGTGTGTGTGTGTGTGTGTACCATAACCGCTTTGGTTATTTCATTCTCAAGGTTATGCCCCGTGCAGCAGTGCTAATTACCCAGTACCCCAGTGCTAAGGTGCAGCCAAGGAAGTTGTTTGCCGCGCTCTAAGTCCAACCGCTCCTTCTTCCCTTCCCCATATGTACCGTACAGCATTGCTGCGTGGCTGAACACATGTTCGTCGCACCGACGCATCGCTCGAGATGTAGCATCATCCAGGCGTGGAAGGCTGCCAAACCAAGCGTGTACGAACAGAAGGGAGGAGGCAGGCAGCCATATCTCTCCTACTTCTGGGAACATTCAGCATTAACCCTATCGCGACGTACGGCAAGATTCCTCTTCAAAGCTGCTGTCTCCCTCCCCACCTGCTGGAGCCGTCCTACGTCTATAACTGCCAGCTCACTAATGCGGCCGGTCCAGGCCTTGTCACGGCCTCCAGGTCGGTGCCGGCCGAGTGGCGCGCTTGGTGCGGGCTCTACAGCGTCGGTGTCAGAGCGCTGAGTGCCCCGCCAGCTGTGAGCCGCGCCCTACACGCCCGCAAAAACACGGCAGACCACGCTACACCGTCACGGCCCGTCACGTCTCAGCATTGTCTGCTCGTAACGTATCGTTACACGCCCTCCCAGTGAAGCATCATCGGCTGGCGCGCAAAAAGTCCGCCACTTGTTGGTCCTGTCCGTCCGCCGGCGCATCGTTAGCCGTGTTTTTCTTTGTCGGGCGATGGAGGTTTTTGCTTGGCGCCGTTTGGCAGGGTGCGTAACCTCGGGTCGGTTATCAATAGCATTAGCCGGGCGGGCATCGATTCTGGCCGGGCCACGCCCCCCCCCCCCCCCCCCTTCCGTCTCCCCCGGGTCTCTCCACAGCGGGGAAGCCCTCACAGATACGCTCACTCGCAGCTCGATTGCTGGTCCGACAGAGGAAGGCGGGCCCAAGACGGGGTGCCCAGCAGGAGCGTTGTCTATCTGCGCTGGAAATGAGTATCCAGGCCTTTCTGTACTGTAGAGACAGGCGGAGAGAGATAGCTGCCCAACAAAACCAGGCAATTGCAAGTGACCGCGGAGGTGACGTGGATTACGGATGAAGGACAAAGTCCAAGTGGTCAGGAACGCAGGCCAGACCAATGACCGGCTTTTTAAAAGCCCTATGAACACTTATGAAATAGGGTATCAAATAAATGATAACTCTCAAGTTTTAACGTTCTGCCCAGCCAGTTTTTTGCAATGGGGCCGTCTTATGCCGATCATGTAGGCGCGCGTTTATATGTTTTGTATTCATTATCGCTGTTCGTTGTTTTTACTTATCGTTTTATTCCTCTGACAGCTGACACGTAATTGACACGTATTTACGCTGATGTCAAACACAAATACAAACGCAGACGCAAAACGCGGATTCACACATAACTGAATATCTACTTAATAAGAATTAAGAACTCAAAAATTAGGACAATTCTCAAAAGGGGAAGGTGATTGGGAGGAATCGCACTCTACCGTAACGTATGCCAGTTGACACCGAAATTGTTGCAAGTTTGGGAAGCATTTCCAGCAATAGAAAAGGGATTAACTTGATTATGGAAACCAAAAACAGAGGAAATTTAGTGATAGCTCGAATTCATCAATATGCCTTCTCGCAAAAATACCACGTCATCCGTTCCAACTAAAAGCGTGGTCTAGGTAGACGATAATGGCGGAACATGATTTATCGTTCCTTCCCTGGTTGCCAAAGTGCATGGCAACTCGTGCGCCAGCTCCCATCAGTTCCGAACTGAGGTCTGGGGAGGGGAGACGGACGAAGGGGAGGGGTGATAGAATTCTTACATCTACCACGAGCCGCATCACGTGGAGTGCGTCTAAACTAGCTGACTAATCCGGGCGGATAGTGCAACAGTCCGATGGTTTTTCGGATGCTGCGAAAATGCGGCAGGTGTCCTCGAAGTGCACCTTCGTGTCAGTTGGATGAGTGCGGCGAGTTCGTGACTCATCTCATCCGCGAAGCTTTATTTACGGGTCACCTGCCCGGTCGGGCGGGAATCCTGATACAACCGCAAATATACCTTGGCGGATGGGGTGAACTACGAGCCGGCGCTTTTATCTTAACCAGCGCCATGGTTCAATCCGACTGTTTCCAAGAATATCCTGATCCGCCCTGAAACCGAACACGCCCTCCGGTGTTTGTCGATCAAAAAAGCTGCCGGCGAGCTGAGGAGCGGCCACGGAGGGCGCGGCCGGGCGCCCGAGGCGTCCGCCTGTCTCACATTTCGAGCGGCGGGGGACACTTCTTCCACCGGGCCATTTCCGACTGGCCGACAGCGGGCCGCCCTCGTCCGCGGCCATGGTTCGAGAGTGTGGCCCGCGCCCGCGACTTGCCCGCCGATCAAAGCCGTCGTCGAATCTGGGTCAGACGTGTGCGTGTGGCGCGGCCGCGCCGCCCGCCCGTCGGGCCACATCGGGCGGCGACGCGGCTCAATGGAGCGCCGCTCGTGTCCGTTGACAGCCCGGCTGGCGGCGCCGGCTGATCGGCATGCGGTGGGCACGGCCCAGTTTTCGCCGGACGCCCGGCGGTCCGAGCCGCGCCGCCACCTCAGTTCGCGCCATTCTCGCCCGTTACGCCCGCCATTGGATGGCCACAATGAAGCGGCGCGGACGGGTCGGCTTTAGAGCGCTCTCGCGCGTGATCGGTGGTGGATTAGAGCGCGTGTATGGCCCGGGGTGCGTGGATGGCTTGGGGAGGGCGCGTGGGCAGCTCGTAATGCGAGAGTAGCCTGGAGTATGTGCGTGGCTCAGAGTGCGTGAGAGTGTTCCGGATGGCGTGGGTGGATCGGAGTGCGTTGGGTGGCCCGGGGTGCGTGGATGGCTCGGAGTGCGTGGGCAGCTCGTAATGCGAGGGTAGCCTGGAGCATGTGGATGGCTCAGAGTGCGTGGGTGTTCCGGATTGCGTGAACGGATCGGAGTATGAGGGCAGGCCGGGCTGCGTGCGTGGCTTGGAGTGCGTGCGTGACTCGGAGTGCGTGGGCGTAAGGACAGGGGCTAAGGCTCGGGCGCGGGCGGAACGACTGAGCAAATGTCCCATGGAACACTTGTGCAATGCAAATATTGCAAATAGGTGGTAAGTGCACCAAACAGGTGGTAAGAGGCCACACGGTAGATACCATTGGGCAGTTATACCGAATGTAAGCCCATTGTAGTGTTTTCTCTTTTAAAAGTCATCAGAAAAGAGGAACACACACTTAACCAGCCTACGGCCTACGCGGCTTCGCAATTGGATGTGGCCCAGAAGTGCTTAAATTATCGCAATTCCGCGAAATATATACTCTGGTCCGTTGCGGCAAAACTGCACGCGATGGCCCACATCCAACCAATCACGGCCGGCACCGGGGGCTGGCTACAAGCCATGGCTACTGGTGTTGCCATTCCGCGACTCGAGAAGTGTCATGTGATACGTTCCGGCCACATGGTAGGGTCGGGATTATTATGTAACACCTTACTTAATCGCATTCAAGCACAAGAGTAGAGAGGTTTTTACCCCGATAAAGTTATGGGTGTGAACATCTCGTTTTCGTGGGCCGCAAGTTAGCCTTCTCATCCGAAAACCACGCAAAAGAGTGAAAGCATTGCTTAAAGCGTCTTTGTTATGCCTAATCATAAACAAACACGTCCTGAAGACAAGGCGCAACTTATCTCACTGAAGTGGTCACAAGAACTGATAACCTGCCAACACTGTATGCTCGATCAAGTGAGGATGCTCTTAATGTGCTAATCTCGAAATAACCCCACAATCCAAGAGGCTTTCTGCCAGCTCATTTATCTTACGTTCTGACGTGTTCCCTTCGGAGATTTTGATGTATTGTGTATCACGATCCTGACAAATGGTAGCCTCCCGAGTCCGCCTAGTTGTAGCACTAACCGATATCAGCCACACTCAACAGCAATCAGTGGTCGTCATCCCTCATGCGACAGCGGCCTTTCCCTGCTTTTTTAGAGGAAAGTTTGGTGCCTTGGGAATGATCAGGACACACCGGGCCCGACGTTTTAAGTGACCACAAAAATAATGACAACGATATCTGCACAACGACACGCGCTGCGGTGTGGGGTTCAGTTTGACCCCACGGAGGTTTTCCCGAATTTATTTCTGGTACCAAGCTTAGCAGAACTGTATGAAATCAAAAACCGAATCTTGGGTATACAAATTAAATATTTACCGTCTAAGGTCACTGACGTATGACAGGTCAAAGTCAAGCCATGGCTGTCAGCGAATCCAGTTTCCAGAGAATCGTCAATCTGGCGCGACAACGGAGTGTTAGACGAAGCCGTGCATCCCTGAAATAATTGCTTAGCCAATAACGCTACTGAACTTACAATTACAACAAGATCCATTCACCTAGAGTCAGGTATAAATGCCAAAACTCACCTGTTACGTCACTTAATTACTTGCTTTATGGGGTAGTCTTGTTGTTTATTTCAAATTTGTTAATGACAGGGGCGCAGCATTTGTCATGGATTTTTTAAAGGTTAGACTAGGTCACTGACCTGAAATGACCCAGATCAGCATTTTGTTTTAAAGAAATACCGCCTGGCGTAATCGCTGACGCTTATTCGAATGAAAATATGACAGAAATTTCGTAGTTTTATGTCACTTGGTCCTCAAGGGTCAAACAAGGTCGCTGAACATAACTGAACATAAATAAACATAAATTAACACCATTTAACTTTTGCTAAGAACAGGTATCTAGGTTCATGACGGTTGCGTGAGGAGGTTTGGGGGCACTTTGGACACAGATCTAAGGTTTGATCCTGTTTTACCTTATTTGGGTCACCAAGTTCATAAAGTGGAAACTCCAAATTTTAAAAAAGTGAGCTTACATACAGGCTAGCCCACCCTGTGAATTTGGTGTCTAGTTTTCGAGGTATTAGGGAGCCGGGCAAATTCGACCCCCACCCGAGCGAAGGGCGTTGAACCGGGCGCGTGTTAAGGCATGACTGGGGCATACAGAAGAGCGCGAGATCACCTCCAACGTCCTAGCACGGGACGGGAGAACAGGTCCCCAACTCCCTACCAAAACCTCGAGCAGAATACGAGGTCACCCTTTTGTCCTCACCCGGAGCAGAGCAGTGTAGCTCAACCGAGGCAAAACATGACGTACCCCTTCCTGACCTGACGGACAGCACCACCGTGAGCGCTCTGGATTAGACGCGTGATAATCTCCCCAAACGTGACGGGCGACAGACACGGGTCACCCCTGCACGACCCCAACCTGACGGCGTCTCACCGATGAAGCCGTTTCCCAGGTAGAGCTCGAGTCGGGCGAAATAGACGGCGACGCCGTACTGCGACCAGGAGCGCGTCTCGCCGTGTAACATCCGCAGGCAGAACGGCACGGCCAGCAGCAGCGCGACCAGCGACGACGTGGCGTACCCTGCCGGCAGAGAGCGGTCAGCGCGCGGTACAGCAGTGTGCTGGGACCGTCAGACCACGATACGATACCGCGCAGGGCCGGTCAGACGACGGTACAGTACTGCACAGGACGGTCAGACGACGGTACAGTACTGCACAGGACGGTCAGACGACGATACAGTACTGCACAGGACGGTCAGACGACGGTACAGTACTGCACAGACGGTCAGACGACGGTACAGTACTGCACAGGGACGGTCAGACGACGGTACAGTACTGCACAGGACGGTCAGACGACGATACAGTACTGCACAGGACGGTCAGACGACGGTACAGTACTGCACAGGACGGTCAGACGACGGTACAGTACTGCACAGGGACGGTCAGACGACGGTACAGTACTGCACAGGACGGTCAGACGACAGTACAGTACTGCACAGGACGGTCACGACGGTACAGTACTGCACAGGACGGTCAGACGACGGTACAGTACTGCACAGGGACGGTCAGACGACGGTACAGTACTGCACAGGACGGTCAGACGACGGTACAGTACTGCACAGGACGGTCAGACGACGGTACAGTACTGCACAGGGACGGTCAGACGACGGTACAGTACTGCACAGGGACGGTCAGACGACGGTACAGTACTGCACAGGGACGGTCAGACGACGGTACAGTACTGCACAGGGACGGTCAGACGACGTACAGTACTGCACAGGACGGTCAGACGGCGGTACAGTACTGCACAGGACGGTCAGACGACGGTACAGTACTGCACAGGACGGTCAGACGACGGTACAGTACTGCACAGGACGGTCAGACGACGGTACAGTACTGCACAGGACGGTCAGACGACGGTACAGTACTGCACAGGGACGGTCAGACGACGGTACAGTACT